CACCACATCGTTTAGTTTTAAATTTAAGGTTGTATATAAATCGTAGTATCCAACTTGTAACACGGTATAATTTTCTTAAACTACTATATCTATTCAAATCCATTAAATGTGTCAAATTCGATTGCACTTCGCACACAAAAGACGATACTTCTTCCAGTTTACTTCTTTTTTCGCAATATACTTCTGGAGAAATCTCTAGACAAATTTCATAATTAGAGCCTTTTGGCCAATCCCTTTTCTTCAACCGAAGCCATTCTGGACCTTGCATCCAAATCGAACTGGACATAAACTTTTCCACGGTAGCTCCTCGAGATATGAAATCTGCAGGATTATCCTGCCCACTACAGTGATTCCAATCAGCAGGATCAGTTCTAGACTGGATTTCGGATACACGGTTCGATACAAAAGGTTTCCATTTTGAAGCTTTCCCTTTAATCCAATGAAGAGCGATTAAGGAATCTGTCCACATATATACCCTAGGCACAGGAAATTTAAAATTTGTTTTCAAATATTGGAAAAGTCTAGAAGAAATAACAGCTCCCATAAGTTCAAGCCTCGGTAATGTCAACCTTTTAAGCGGTGCGATTCTAGATTTCGCAGTGATAAAACTTGTATAAATACAATCATCACTTGACACGTAACGGAAGTACGCAACTGCTCCGAAAGCTTTAGGAGAAGCGTCAGAAAATATGTGTAGTTCTAATTCTTTCACCAACTTCCATGGTATGGAGAAATATTTTCTTTCGATTGTCAAATCTTTCAACAGATAAATCTGAGAGCACCAATTATCCCATTTTTTTCTTCAAGTCAGTTGATAGCTCATCATCCCATCCTAAACCAAGTTCCCATATTTCTTGCATTAATAATTTTATGAGAACAATAAAAGGTGATGCAATTCCCATAGGATCAAATAACTTCGAAGCTGTCTGAAGTACACTACGTTTTGAATTCTTCCTATCACAGGTCATGTCCAGTAGAGGTTTTACATCTAACTTAAAAGTATCTTCTTCGGTGTTCCATATTATGCCTAAAACCTTCAAAGGACGTTCTTTAGTTTCTGTCACATCAGACAAACCTCGTTCACTCCATAAATTTCTCAACTCATCCGAATTAGTATTAAATTTTCTTAAATTCATGTTCGCATCTTTAAGAATTTTTACAGCGCTCTGTGAAAGTTCTAAAGTTTTCTCTATTGTATTTGCTCCGTAAAAAAGATCATCTACATAAAGTGCCGAGTCAAGCATTTCACAAGTTTCGCTTTGTTCAAGTTTATATTTTTCTAATGTGGTATTTAATAGTCGCAGCAAGGATAAATGGGCTTGATGTCACTCCAAAGGGAACGCGAGTCATTCGTAAAATTTTGTAAGCTTTTGAATCACTTTCATCTGGAAACCAGAAAAAAACGTAAATAGTCTCTATCCTCTTCCGCTATTCCTATGGTCAAAAATGTTCCCTGAATATCACAGCTGAATGCATATTCATATTCGCGAAATCGCAAGACAAAATTTTGGGATTCAACGGTGGCCCAGGACTCAAGCATTCATTAAGAGATTTGCACCCATTACCTTTTGACGATGCATCGAAAACCAATCTGACTTTCGTAGTGTCCCTATCCGATCTTACTACAGCTGAATGAGGCATATAATAAGAATTCTCTTCTAAGCCGAAAGGACATTCTTCAACGATATTCAGTTTTAATTGCTCCTTAACTATATTCTTATATTCATTATAAACCCAATCATTTTCTTTCATTTTTACACTTAAGTTACGAAATCTTCGTTTTGCTACCGCGAAATTGTTAGACAAGTTTTCTGGTTTACCGTCCCAGAATAATTTAGTTGTATACATTCCATTTTCATATTTTAAATTACTTTCGAATTGAGAAATAAATTCTCTTTAAATTTAAAATCTCCACTGTGAGTATCATTTATCCCCATTGAATCTAACTGCCAAAACTGCGTTAGTTTTTCATTTAATGCGGCGCAACATTCAATTTTCATAATAGAAATATCCCGATTCGCATTTAAATCTGATGGAGGGATTCGACCTTGAACAACCCTTCCAAACAGAGTATCAATCAAATACAAAGATTTGTTTAATCGCTGTTTTTTCTCCCGTATGAATATCCCAAAAATACTGTGCTCCAATAAGCAGAGACAATTCATTTCCTGACGATTTACTTAAGTTTGACAACTGAATGTTCTTCCTCGAAAGTATTTGCATTAATTTGTTATGTGATACTTTAAACTGCGATCCAGAAATACAGTCAGTCAAAAGTGCTTCAATCGTTATTTTCTTGTCCGAATCACATAAATTACAAAGTGAAAACCGAACTACGTCATACGTTTTTTGTATTGGCACTCTAGAACCGAAAGTGTAAACAGCTAGACTTTCTTGTCTAATTATGGGTAGTTTCATTTCTACGGCTACTTCTTTTCTCAAAAAACATCTCTGTGACGCATTATCTAACAAAATATTAATCTCTTTACTTTTATTATTGCCTATTAATACTGCCGAGCAAGTTTCAAGTAGTATGTCGCAATCATCGGATTCATTCACACATGCTACGGAAGACACAACATTTAATTTATTCGCGTCGACGGTCTGACGAGACTCCAGAGGGGGGGAAGAAGAATAAACATTGGGTTGATCGCAAATCAATTCGTGATGCATAAAACGTTTACAAATTCCACAAATAGATTTCTTTTGACACTGCTTATATACGTGCCCCTTCGAAAAGCAAGCATAACATATACCATATTTCTAAGAATTAATTTTTCTCTGTTCTACCGATAAGGGACAAGAGGTAGAATCGTGCTCTATTTTCGGTTTTGTACAAAATATACATTTTTCACATCAACAATAAATGCAGATGTAGTAGGAATGTTCGAATTTAATTTATTTTTCCCTTTACATTCAATTTTGGTTTTATTAAATCTCCCATACTTTTCATTAGGTTTTTGTACAGGATTAAATTTAGTTTCCAATCGCTAATCTGAAGTGTTTAAATTAAAAGTCTCTACTTAAGTACTCGTTACGTTCACGACACTAAATTTCAATCTTTAAAAATTCCAATAAATCAGATATTTTGTTTTCACTTTCCGAATGTGTTTTAAGAGAAAATTCTAAGTACAAATATTTGGGTATCGATTTTAACAACACTGGATACAATAGACAACTGTAACTATTAGGAATAATTCCGTTATTTTCTAATCCTCGAATATGTGTTTCGCATTCTGAGTAAAGTCTACGCAACGCTACAATGTCATATGATTTTCGTACTGGACTTTTTCGTTTTAAAGTTTTCGTTTAAAAGTCTTGCCATATGCGCATCGATAATAATATCTTTTCGACCAAAGCGTTCTTTTAATATGTTCAAGGCAATTTCATAGTTTTCAGAAGCTTAATGCTAAAGCTTCCCACGTAGAGCTACCTCAGCTTCGTCTGTTAAGTACGATTTTAAATAACTAAACTTCTCTACATTACTAAGATTCACATTTTTATGGATAGCTACTTCAAACTGAGAATAAAATTCGTTTATAATTATTCGTTATAAAACTTTAATATATTGCCATCGTATTGAGGTATCTGCAAGCGAGGTATTCTGCTGCTCACTTCTGGTTTCTACAACATTCGTTCTTTCAGTTTCGCGAACAACTTCGCTTGCTTTCATTTTCAGGATTCTATTCGCGCGAATTTTCCAAGTAATAATATTATCTTTATATTCTTGCAGTTTTTTAATTTCCTTTTCTATTTCTTCCGTTTTGCACAGTTTTAGAATTTCCTCGTTAAGATACTTTAAATTAGCTTCTTTATCTAAAAGTTTCGCTAAAAGTTCATCAATTAAATCAACTGATCTTTCCTGTTTGTTTATTTCAGTTTCTAACAGTTTCATAGTGTCAGTTGCCGCGCGTCTGACAGGTGCTCTAATCTTTTTTAAAGCTTCAATATCCATCATAACAATTTAAATTATTCAATTCGCTAAATACGTTTTTCAGTATTCAATTTCGCAATTTACTTTATCTAAAGGTCTCTTCCGGATTATCGGCACCAAAAAGATTTGTAAATACGCATTTACATTCTTTTTGTCGCTAAAATATTCTAAAACTCAATTCAAATCAAAATATAAAGAAATCTCACTTACCTGTTAGACGCATTCTCCACTTTTTATCATTTTCTACATATTTTATTGACGACACAATTAAATACATTTACAACAAATAGACACATATAAACTTTAGTTAATGTTTCGCGATGTTGTTACATCTTTCGCAATCATCAAGGTTCTGCACTAGTCCGAAGAATTCAAGCGCACACAGCGTCATCTGATGCAATACAGTTTCTACACGCCTTAAACCGTATTCCACAAATGTTAATAGACGTAATGACTTTGATAACAATAATGACGGCTAGACAATCCTGTGAATGCTCTCAATGCTACCATTGGGATAATTTTGCCATTATTATCAAAGATATGTTTTCTTTGATAATTTCTGTAGTTATTTCTGTAGTTCTGCACTAGTCCGAAGAATTCATGCGCACACAGCGTCATCTGATGCAATACAGTTTCTACACGCCTTAAACCGTATTCCACAAATGTTAATAGACGTAATGACTTTGATAACAATAATGACGGCTAGACAATCCTGTGAATGCTCTCAATGCTACCATTGGGATAATTTTGCCATTATTATCAAAGATATGTTTTCTTTGATAATTTCTGTAGTTATTGATTTATTTATCACATTTATATGTTTGTAATTTTTAGACATTTTATTTTTTACAATGAAGAATTTTTAAGAAAAATCTCGAAAAATATTAATATATTTGGAAGTTAATTGCTCACAAAACTTTGTGAGAATGTCTTGTAAAATTATAAAATCTTTTTCAACTAAAGTAGCGTTATGTAAAATTTCAGAAAAGTTACAGTTTTTGCTTTGTAGGACTTAGTAATACGTATTTGAGCGCGTATTAACCCTCGCGTAAACTTTCTGTTGCAGAAATCGATCCTTGTGCGGAAGGAAATGGAGGTTGCGCCCATCTTTGCTTCAAATCTAACTTCTCTATCCGGTGCGACTGTCATTTTGGATATGTGCTGAAAGAAGACGGGAAGTTATGTGAAAGTAAATTGTATAGCTTTCCATTATGTGCTCTAAGTGTATGCAAACATTTCTTGAGTCCGTGAAAGATAACTCTTATGTAAGTTAAATAAAAGGTATAATTTTGTTTTATATGCAAATAGCCAACCAAGGAATGGAACTTTAATAATCTTTCGAAATATTCTAGTTTAAAGTTACAACAAACAATATTATATTAATATCAAAACAATGAACTCATGATTATCTGTGCTAAATAATATAAGACGCGAGTGATATTGCCCTACCGTTTATTTTATTAGCATCATTTGTAGTCGTTGCTAGAATCAATTACTTTGAAAATTGCTGTTTCAGTTAATGCTGTTGAAGTCTGCTGTAAAATAGCGCTATAAGCGAAGCTATTTATTCCTGATTTGTGGCTTGAACCTGTGTCCTGTGCGGTCATGACGAGACGTTTCTTACGCTCAACCTCTTATGCTATATATGTATATATATATATATATATGTATATATATGAAACAAGTAATATAAACAAATTAAAATCAATTCCTACTTAGGTCAACAAAGAAAAATTTTATTAACATTATTAACATTTTTTCGTTTCTAATTTATGAAGTTGTATAATTTCTCCTTCTATCCATCTCTCGTAATGCTTCATTATTGGAAGGAAACTTCCCAGTGAGTTTCGAGCAGTCCAGTTCTTCAATTAATATTCTATCTAATTTCACACGACTCAAGGCGACATATGCTTGACCTGCTGCGAGGAGTTTTCGTCCAAGATATATTACTGCATAATCTACAGTGCTACCTTGCATCTGATGTACAAAGCAACCAAAAATGATTTCAGCCTTGTTGCTGTTAACTGATTGGCTAAACATGAAACATATTACCGTAAATTCCTTTTAACTTCGGTCCATCCTCTCAGTAAGAATCAGTGCAGTAGAAATCGTGAGTTTTCTCCAAAACGTCACACACCTGTCATTTCTTCAATACCTAAAAGCATATTGTTGTTGTGACTTTTCTCAATTGTCCAAAAGCAATACAGATCAAGCCCACGAATTTTAACTTGGCGAGGAACGCAGGACTGCATATATCCTTGGCATGGGCCTTGGGTACTTTACAAATGACAGTGCGATTTTGCCTATTTATGTTCCAATTTTGAGGGAGAATCTTCTGGTGGCGACGTGTTCAAGGCTCTTCTACCCTTCTTCCTGTTCCAACAAACCATTGGTGGGGATTTTCACCTTATTGTATGTTTTAAGTTCCAATACTGCAAAGACACTTCACGCTTTCAGATGTTAAAATCTCCGGGATTCGAACACGCCCCAAACGATACGAAGAAGCAACCAATTCTCCCTCAAAATTGGAACATAAATGGACAAAATCGCACTGTCACTGGATTTTCACCCTACCGTATGTTTTAAGTTCCAATACTGCAAAGACACTACACGCTTTCAGATGTCAAAATCTCCGGGATTCGAACTCGCCCCAAACGATACGGCAGCCAGCTACGTACCGATCAGGGCAGCAGTCTGAGAGCAGTTTGTAGTGATGATGCGTAGCTAAGCCGCCCAATGGTAACAGGTTGTTCAAAAGCCCTGGCTAACAAAGTTTACATTATGGCTTGTTAAATGGGAATGGTAAATGGTTCTTACAGAATTTGTTCCTGTCGATTTCAAATGTGTTTTTGAAATGTAGAGTGTTTGAGTAATTGAATGAGAAAAAGAACAATAACAGTAAATATATGGAACAGTTATTGAACATTACAAAAGCATACTATAGATAATAGAAACAATCTGATTCTTTTTTAAAATAGCACACAAAAATACGTTCATGTCAGCATAAAATATACGTTTAACGAAATCATTATTGACATTAAAGTTATTGGTTTATTTTTCATTTTTGAAAATGTAATTGTCCTAATAGTAAGTGTGTAAAGTATTTTATGTTAATTAAACTATTAAGGTTTAAGTCTTTACTACAACTTATTCATTCCGTAATGCTCCTCAGAATTCAAATTAGGTTTTTGTGTATTTAAGCTGTAGGTTTGAATGCTTAGAGGAGAGCTTCTAGCATCTTGCTGATATTTACCATCGTCAGCTCCTGCTACGTGATATTCCGCTTTAATGTCTTTCGAGCCGACGTCTAAATTATGCACCGTTAAATATTTGAGTGATCTTAAGTAGATTATTCTGGGATGTAGCCTCAGGCTACCTTACCTGCATTTGAAATTTAACTTTCTGTAATGCTAATTTAAATAACTCAATCGAAGAATTTCATCTATCACATAAGCAGTGCTTTCTTTCTATTCATTTAAGATTTAAATAATAAAGTTTACTTTGACCTTTTTTTTTTGACTTTTATGCTTTATATGCTATTTATATATATTTATGCTTTATGACCAAGCAATAACTCGCTTCAAAAAAGTCGAGTTAAATCTGCAGGCATTGACACAACTTTCTTGATACACGTAGAAGCCTAAATATACTAAAAGTGTTTAGCTTTCTTATAGCTTTTTTAATGCTATGCTTGTAATGTAATACACTAAATATGCACACAAGAAAAATTTGGCAACAAGAAGGGGACAAGGCGACAGCGGGGCGTTGCACACACGAATTCTTTCCAAAAGTGGACAACAAAACTAGAAGTACACAAGGTTTACTAAAGCAATATTTCATTATTATTCTGAGGGAATTTCACCGCCCTCTATATTTGTCGGGTCATGGCCCTTTCCCGGATTACTTCTGCAAGAGAATCCTGGAAAATACCGACACATGCTGAGCGGAGAATTGGATGATGCGGATTATTACTTTTTCAAATGTCCGTTCACAAAAGAACTCCACTTGAAAGGACCTTCAACATTGACATATCATTTTGAAGTCTGTTAGTAACACAGCGACACATTCCCCGAAACTAAAAAAAAATTATTAAAAAACTGAGCCATTACCGGCTTAAAGTCTCCCAGGCAGAATAACGCAAGAAATGCCGAACGTAATTAGCGTCCACAATGTACTGAACAGTATAAAAGGCTGTACAACAGGAGTTTAACAGGAGTATAAGTATATTTAGTATAACAGGAGTTTTTCCAGATGAACATATACTACGGAACACATCGTATAGTAAGTATCTAACTTTGGCATAATAATCCCCAACAATAGGCCCATCACCTCTTCCATTCAAACTTAGAAATGTACTAATGGCCCCATGGTGAGGTTAATTCTAAAGATGGTTAGCGTGTTGGGGTGTTACCTGTGCGATCCATGTTGAAGTTTCTGGTGCTCCACTCACTACTACTACATACCTACTCATGTGAAAGAATAGCTTTGTGTTCTAAGTACGTCTGGATTTCTGTCGCAGTCTAGGCGAAGCTTGTAGCCTATGATAAGATAATATAAAATTATTTGAATTTATAGCAGGTTACAGAAGGCTTGTCTCTAAGCCATGTCGAACTGACTGGCAATTTTATAATATATATCTTGGTTTAATCCCTCACATGTGAAGAGGTAGAATAAATAAGTTATTTTTTATGTGTTCTTTTTAAAGTTAGAAATTTTTATTATGATAATTCGACTCGCAGAATCTACGTAGCACCTTGTTTCAATGAGAATATAGCTTGCTAAATTAATTTGAACCCTAGACGGTGTTACAGACTTTCATTCGAATCGCGTCAGAGCAGGTTATATCTTCATGGTTGCCTTTTAAAATTTCTTGAAATTTGTCCTTAAAAATAAATTCCTAAATTTTGTGTAAATATATTCTCATTTAATTAATTCTATTTTGAATTTAAAAAGAATTCATTGATTATTTTACTTTTATGCATTTTATTCATTGATTATTTTACATGCAATTTATCAAGATATAATTCTAAAATGTGGCTCTGTTGATAATTCTTTCGGCTGCTCTTATGAAAGCGGCCAAGGAATTATCAACTATTATTTATTATTTAAAAATTCCTTTTTTATTGGTGTACTTTTATTTCAATTTTGTTTTCCAAGTTTTTGTTCTAATTGATTTGCGCTTTCCTGTTACATAGGGTCGATATTAATTGTATACATTATATTTCTTTCTTATACTAAGACTAAATGTGCTGAGACAGACAATAATAAAAGGCAATGTTATGATTACTAACTTATCAAAGTTTTTGTAAAGGATTATGGAATTTGTAATCTAACCGTTCCTATTTTTCATGCCCCGGTATGTTACTGTAATTAGACATTAATGACCTACGAGGCTTAACTGATGTTAACATTTCATGTAGAATATAACATCATGAATGTTGCCAGAGAAATCGGCTGTTCATAAAGGCATTCTAATTTTCGCTGTTAAAGTTCCTCAATTTACCTTTTAAAGTGAAACAATACACTGTTTATCAAGCTGAGCTATTAAATACGTATTTCTTAATAATTTCTATTTTAATTTCTTTGATAATATTCTGGTAAAATTTAAAACCGATCATTTTTATCAAATTTTATGCCATTAATTTAATTTATAAAAGATGTTTCTAACTCATGTATTATGCATCTCGCTATAGAATGGTAGTCTGCATGTCACTAATAATATATTCGCTAAATTTAATTTTTAAATTTCATTCGCAGGAAACGGAAAAGTTCTGCTTAAGAATAGTTTGTTATAGAGAAGGCCAATTTACTTGACATCGAAAAAAATGTCTGCTGCAATAAATATTTTAAAAAATTGTCACCAATGCAAAATTTATAACTAAACAGGAAAAAGAAATTCTAAAAACGTTTTTATAAAATAAGCTTTTATTTAAAACTCCTAAGATAATTAACGAAATAAAAAAGAAGAAAAATATGGAAGTTTCTTGTGATAACTGAGTACTTGTGTTGCTGGAAAGACTCAAGTTAAGGGGCGAGTAAACGATATTATAGATTCCTGTTTTATTATTAAGTTGTTAAATTTATTAGGTATTTTCTCCCTCCTTTCCGCATACTTTCGTATTGTAACTGGAAGCATGCCTGATGCGCATTCGGGAGGTACGAATTTCGGTGTAAGCATTATAAGGCATTTCTTCCGCCTTTTCAGCATGCCTTCGGAGTGTAGTGGTCAGCACGCTAGACGCGTATTTGAGAGGTCCGTGGTTCGAGTCCTGGCGAGGGTTCTCACGTCTTGCTCATTGCGTGCGTCTCACGTCTTCCTTGCTCATTTCTCACGTCTCTCAGCATCAAAACCTAATGTCTCTACAGTGGCAAAAAGGTGGTGAATGTTGATTCTTCACCACCAGTATTTGGCGATTGGGTCCTCTAAACTCCAGTCACCCTTTAAAAGGAGAGAGTATATAAGGTATTTCTTCCGTCTTAGCATATCTTTGTGGTGTAATGGTCAGCACGGTCGATGCGTAGTCGAGAGGTCCGTGATTCGAGTTTCATTTCTCACATCTCTCAGCATCAAAACCTAATGTTTCCACAGCATTGCGGATTTCTTCGTTTTTATGAGTTCAAAAAAATTCTAACACTCTACAAATTCTAACACTCTACTCTAATGAACTCTACAAGTGACACCCGATCTAAAAGGTGGTGATCGTCACCATCAGCATTTGGCGATTAGGTCCCTTTACCCCAGTCGACTTTTAAAAGGGAGCATATAAGGTTTTTTTTCTCTCTGCTTTCCTTTTGCGTTTATAGTGTAACTAGAAGCACTCTCGACACGTATTAAGGAGGTCCGGAATTCAAATCCCGTCCATGGCCCTGTGGATTTCTTCAGTTTTCTGACTTTGAAAAAATTCTAATGACTCTGCAAGTTAATGAAAATTGTTCACTGTTCTTCAAGAGACTTTGTGTTACTCACGCTTTTTTACTCTTTAGAATTAGACCCTTGCTCTCATAAGAATGGAGGATGTGATCAGATCTGCCAGTCACGAAACGATGAGCCAGTATGCAGCTGTAGGACGGGCTATGATCTGCGACGAGATGGAAAAACTTGCAAAAGTAAGTCGGTCTTTTAAAAGTTCTTTTGAGCATTGTCATACCAAATTATCAAGATAATGAAATTTCGATTTCAGATTTCTTGTAAAGTACCTCAAGTTGCTTAATTTTTTTAAAAGTTCTTTCAGTACTTTTAAAACTGTTTGATACTTAACTTAAATTTCGTTTAATTTGTTTGAAACTTTGATTTCAAATTTCGTGTAAAATATATCATCAAGTTGCTTGAAATTTTATTCAAGTTATTTCAGTACTCTTAATTGCTTGATATTTAACTTAAATTGTTTGAAATTTTAAGTTGTAAAAAATTACTTTAAGTTCTTTAAAATTTAAGTCTTCAAGTTGTCTGAAATTTTCAAAATTCAGATATTTTACGCCAATAAATGCTTTGTAACAAAGACAGAAAACTTAAAATAAGTGGTAAGATTTTTTTTTTCGAAATATTAAACACTGTATGAAGAAATAGATTGCTTTAAAGGAAGTGGTTTAAATTTGAATCTAGCCTCTTTTAGGATACTATAACCTCTTCTGAAGTATAAAAAATTCTCTCTAATTTTTTTTCCAGTCAGATTGATTATTAGAATTGTTTTTGATGAAAATACAGTTATTCTTATTACTCCATTGAATATAGGAATCATAAAATCAGCTCTTTTGTAGGAATTTCCGTAGGAATGATAAACTTGGAACTAATGAAAGGAAAAGAAAATATTTTGACAAGCAGTGTTTCCAAACATTAGATTTCGATTCAAAATGCTCCGAAGAAATTTAATTTATTTGATTATCATTCTGTGCTACTATGAAGCTGAATTACGATATAGAATATTCTAGGAACTTTTAACTTAAATTGAGTTTGAATCCCAATAAAAATTAAAATTTATTAGAATCGTCCAGGTATTAAAAGTAACTTAACACATAGTTAAAAAAAAAAACGTCATATAAGACGTAATTAAATGAAAAAGAGTTGAGGTTTCTAGAAAGTATGATTTTTATAAGAGGAAGGGAATGTGTTATTCAACAGACAGTGTCAATTTGAAGAACAGTAAAAGACTAGTCAGTACCAAATGAATAAAACCAGTGAAAATACTGGTAATTTAACGTGAGTTCAAATCACAAAGAAGAAGCTGCGAGAATTCTTATGATTTTTACCTTGTGTGAGGTTAAGTAAGAGCAAGTTTCCCTAAGAGAGTCCTACCTAAATGTTATAAGGTATTTTCTCGCTCCTTTCCACATGCCTTCCTGGTGTAATTGGAAGCATACTCTGCGCGTATTCGAGAGGTCAGGAGTTTGAATACCAGAGAGAACACTGCATATTTTTCACGTCTCCAGCTTGAAAAAAACATAATGGTTCTACATGTGGTGCCCCAACTAAAAAGTGGTGGACGATAATTCGTCACCACCAGGATTTGGCGGTTGGGTTCTCTAATCCCAATCACCATTTAAAAAGGGGAGTATATAAGATATTTTATCCCTCCTTTCCGCGTGTCTTCGTGGTGTAATTGGAAGGTGATTGACGCCTATTCAAGAAGTCTGGAGTTTGGATCCTGAAGAGGGCATTGCACATTTCTCACGTCTCCAGCAACAAAAACCCTAATGACTGTACAAAATATTTGTCCTCTTAAGCAGATGCCTAGATGTGTGTAATAAATACCCTAGATCGCTAGGGCTGTAAATGAAATACTGCTCATATATCAGGCACTGAATTCGAAATTTTGGCAGCGGAAGATTCGCAGATGCAGTTATGTCTCAGGCTTACATTTTATTAAATGTGGTCAGATAACACTCCGCATTTATTGTAACACTAAACATCTTTCGAATAAATCGTAACCATATTAATCGAAAGAGGCAGCTTTTCTTTGTTACACGCTGTTGAAAGGTTTTTACGTACAACTTACAAGGTTGTTACTTACAACGACCATAAACGTAGCAGAATTCTACCGCGACCACTTCATGCTACAGGAAGGGCATAGGAAGAGCTCTCAGCGGAATAAGTTCATGTGGGAGAAATTATCCTTAACTTTTCCTTTTACTACTATAGGTACACTCACATTGAGATTATGATGCAGTGTGCTTCAACAAATGTGTTATCTAACTGCAGTAACAAATCCTAAATTCCTCTTAGATTCAGAAAAAACGTTCCAGTGAATTTTAACATTTCTAGAGTTCTGACCGAGAGGATAGGTTACCGTCTTCAATCGGCAGCTTGAGTAAAACACCAATTAAGTACATTTTTATTTCTTTATCTCCTACTGACGAAAGGAGGTTCATACCCTCCTGTACCTTCTCCCAGCTGGCTACTTTAATACGAAACACCCTGTTGGAAGAAGCGTTTTACGTTTCCGAATAAAATGCTATGCAAGGGAACTCAACCATCAATCTACTGTTAAAGAGATCTTGCCTTTAGCGTTGTCCGCACTTCCAGCTGTTTAAAGGTGAGGCGCAATTCCATCTGAGAAGCTCTTGTTGTAGATCTGATGCTTTATATTTACTGACACTTCATTCCTCCTGTGAAGGTTACATTATTGCCTTGCAGTATGTTGCAATTTATATGAATTAAAAGTCCTTACTTGTTTCCTCTTGATGTATTGTGATTATTTTGAGTTTCTAGAAGGCTTAAATTCAAGGATTTCAAACCGAATGTATCTTGAAAGAACAAAACATATTATGAAAGATTTCTATCTGCTATATTTTTGCATATTATCCTCCTTCTTATCTTGTTTTAGAATTAAATCCTTGTAAATGGAAAAATGGTGGCTGCGAACAATTTTGTCACTTTGAAAATGGATCCATCCGCTGCGAATGTCGTTCGGGATATTCTCTGCAAGAAGATGGATACTCATGTAAAAGTACGTTGCTTCATTTACAAATAAAAATTCTGAATTTCTTTTAAATGTGTTGTTAAATATTCTAAATGTTTTCTGTAAATGTTCACTCGTAGTTGGTTTCTAGCATTTGAGGACCCTGTTATATAATATTTATACTGGACTTTTAAAATCAATAATATGTGCAATTTTATGATAAATTTGCAATGTTTTACTGTCTAGGAATCAATCCGTGTGAACGAGAAAACGGAGGCTGTGAGCAGCTCTGTCGTTATGAAGCTGAAGTTTTAAGCTGCGAATGCAGAGAAGGATATCTTTTGCAAGTTGATGGAAAGTCCTGCAAAAGTATTTAAAACATTATTTTACCAAATGTTACCATGTGTAATGCTTTCAAATTAGTAAATATTATATTGCGTTATGTATTGCAATTATAACTAATTTCTTAATTGTTTATTTGAAGAAAAAAATAAGCTGTTTGGTATGGTAAATGGAAAAAATCAACTGCACCTGGGGTTATCATCGTGACCAAGTCGCAAGTTAATAATAACGACTGATTTCTCCTTTTTTCTTCCAAATATATTTAAAACATTGATATGGTTTTTCAAGAAACATGCATGCTTACTGCGCCAATTTTCCTGTGTTTGTTTCAAAAATGTTTTTCAACGAAAATAAAGAAATATACTGGCAACGACTACTCTATAAAATAAGCTCCATCACTCGGTAATCGTATTCTTTGCTGCGTTATCAACTTCTGAGTCATCACATTCTTAATCTTTTTCATATGTGAGATGAACGTCATGTAAATCAAAATTCTAACATCGGATTTGCAGTAGTACCTTGGTTCTCCATTTTGATTTGGCTATTTCTCCTTTCCCCAAAAGTAACCACATACCATAAATCTCTCTAAAGTGCGTCATTTCAAAATTAATTCATGTCATATGCTTTTACGATAACGACGCACATACTTGCACAATGCTTCATCCAACTATAATTTCAAATCTCAAACCGAAATTTAAAACTAACCAATCAAAATCAAACTAATTCATTAAATTGCTTAATTACATAAGTAAAACTAATTCATTCTGAGCTGAGCATTAGATGCGTCATATTCTCTAGTTTCACTCGGTCACTGTATCAGGTTCAATGTTCCGTCTTACTTTCTTTGGGAACATGCAAGGACCTGACTCGGAACAGAGAGCTTACTAAAGCTATGTTCAATAACTGTGGGAAGTAGACAGGATACACAAGAAGGGTATACAAAACCCTTTATTTTTCTCTATTTACAATAATTTCCGTACTTCGGAATACAAAGACCCACTACTTGTGGTCTAAACGTAAGAATAAAAATAGAACTAAACTCTAACTTAACTTTGAAATAATAAACGTGGAAGATTGGCCTTATATTAACAGGAAGCCGTACGTAGTACAGAGAACTGTTAACACTACAATACGTTTAAAATTATCAAGAGGATTCAACCTCTGGCCTGGAAGGCAACCAGCAACTGAGTAAAACTTCTAAGGTAAGCGGCCTGCTTCGACTAACTCCTTCCTCTGTCTCGCTAGGCAAAAAGCCACAACTTAAGTACTTGGCGTTCGCCAGACAAATTTGCATAAATAAGTTAACGCTTTTAATTCTGGCCAGAAGTAGAAAATAAGAAGTGATAGTAAAGATTTAAAATAAAATAAACGTTAGTAAAACTTAAGATCCTTACATACTTCCCGCCAGAGTTAATTAGTTTGAAACTGAGGTCTAAAACGACCTTGTTGAAAACTTTTAGCTCTAGAATCTAACGCGAGGCCAATCTTTTACAAACATTTCTCACTAGAAACTAGAAATTTAAAAAAAAGAAATTTGTTTTTACAATAGCAGCTCCAAGGACACGCAATTTTTCATCTGTACTGCATCTAAACAGGAGCTTTTATTCAAATCTGGTTCCTTCCAGAGATCTGGAAGGAAAACTAGTTTAATGAAATGTTACACAATGAAATGGCAAGTAACATGCATATTTATATTTCTCTTAACATTCTTATTTCATTCATGACTATTTTAATTATCTCTCCCCGTGCTCTCTGACATGTGTTGTAAAAGAACACCAAACACGAATGTGTTTATGTATACGTGTTCAACACTTCCTCCTACAATCAAAACACTAACGTGTTAAAAATTCAACATACCAAGACCTCGTAACACACCCTAACTTCAACTCTAAACCCTGAGGTACTATACATAAACACATTCGTGTTTGGTGTTCTTTTACAACACATGTCAGAGAGCACGGGGAGAGATAATTAAAATAGTCATGAATGAAATAAGAATGTTAAGAGAAATATAAATATGCATGTTGGCTAACTCTGAAGTGTAACGTCAGAGAGCCTAACTACATTCATTCAACCTTTAACACGTATTCACCATAATTTGGTCTTTTTTCAGTCACACGAATAAAAAAAAAAATTTAACATTACTTTCACTTTTACCATATCACGGTATTTCTTAACATTTAAAATAACAGTTCACATTGTATATAAGAACATATTAACATGCCGTTAATTTTACGCATTTGACAACATACACATTAGTAGTACATTGTTAACTTCTATTCTTTTCAAAGCAAGTGCCAATTTTTCTACATCGAAATACTACATTTCAAAAAGTCTTTCAGACTAAAACTTCTTTCTTGCCAGAATGTTTTAAATAAAATTTATACAATAACTTTTACAATATTTAAGTATTTACACATCGCTATTATACATCAACTTTAGTTTTACGCGCGAGTAATTGAAAAACATAATACCAAAATCGGTAACAACTCATTTCTCGCCCTTTTGGCGATAAAGGTAGACCTCGCATGAGGTAAAACTTCTTGAAATCTGCCACTTGCAGTAAGAATGAAAGATTAACTTAAGTTTGCAAAGTAACATAAAATTCTACTTATCTTTGTGATATTCGGACATTCTTTTCTGAGCCCAGTCCTGGAAGGTAGCGTAGATTCTCGTTTGATTTATCCTCCTTCTTGTGCGGGCTCGCCTTTCAGTGCCTTCCTCTAGAAGCTTTCTTTTTTCTCCAGTTCGGTCACCCTTGAATACCTTCTTTTTCGCCTCTGCCTGTGGTCTTGGCCGTTTGATGGCAGCTGGTCTTGGCGGAACCGGGAAACTTCTTTCGCGTTCCTGCTTGGACCTCGTTGCTGGCCGTTCAAATTTTCCTTGTAACTTTTCCTCCGCCGCTGGTGGCCCTTCCGCAGTTCGGCGACATTTGCTGCGAAGAGTCCTGTCGGATGAGTAGATCTTCCGGTTTAGAGCCGGGTTATAGTTGCCGTCATTTCTCCTGGCTCTCTTTGCATACGTCGTCCTTCTCCCTTCTTCATTCTGGGGGTGTTCGTGAGCTCTTTTTCTGGACGGTGGAACGGCTTTTTTTTCTTGTTACCTTTAATTTTCCCGCGGGGAAACTTTCTTTTCACTTGCTCCTGCCTCTTAATGGCTTGCCCTTGTACTTGTCGTTGTTCCACCTCTGGAGCTTGTGCCTGCCGTGTCTGCCGTGCCGGATCCTGCAAAAGATCTGTAAATATTTGCATTTTATTACGATCATAGTAGGGTTTGATTTGATCAATGTTTGCGGAGCAGGTTTCACCATTCCTGGCTTTTAACACTACTACAGCGTGAGTTATTTTTTCTATGACATATGGTCCTTCAAATCGTGGAAAACATTTGGCAGTTTTGTCTTCTGGTGCTGAAGAAAGTGAATGCTTAATTTTTAACACTTCATCCCCTACTTTATAAGTTACTCCCCATCGTTTCAAGTCATAATACAGCTTTTGTTTTCTCTGTGCTACTTCAGTATTCTTTTTTGCTTCTTTAATTCGTTTTTCTATATCACCCATTTTAAATTCTGGGGCTCTTTGTTGCACATAAAATAATTTATCTAACGGCGTTATAATTTTTCTGCCTAAAAATAACTCAGCAGGAGTTTTGCCCGTTGTATCATGTTTTGAGGTCCTAAGGGCGAAAGCAAATTCATTGACATAGTTATTTCAGCTTTTATGAAAATTTTTAACATAACTACGGATAATTTTCACTATATTTCTATTGACCCGTTCCGCTATATTTGATTGCGGCCGATACGGGACCATTTTTAAATGACGTATGCCCAGTTTTTGGCACATGTCTTCAAATACATTACTTACAAATTGAGGACCATTATCCGATATAACTTTTAGGGGCGCCCCGTATTTTAAAATATATTTATTTAAAATAGAATCAGTAACTAATTTCGCGGAGGCTCGTTTTAAGGGAACAATTTCGGTCCACTTACTATAATGATCAACCATAACAAGGAGATAGCGACTTTTATTTAATTGACTTTTTGGGAAAGGGCCCAATAAATCGATGCCAATTATTTCTTTTGGAAATTCGGATTTAATACTATTTAGAAACCCGGCCGGGCGGAAATTAATATAATTAACTGCTTGACATGTTGGGCATGACTGGACATACGCCCTTGTTAACTTTTGCAGTTCAGGAAAATAGACTGCCTCGCGTACGCGTTGGATAGTTTTTCGAATACCAGCATGAGAAGCTAAAGGGCTGTCATGGAGCTCCTGCAGGATATTTAATCTAAGACTAGCTGGGATATAACAGGTCGAAATTCGTTGTTGGAATTCGTAGTTTTTTTGTATAAAATAATAGACCATCTATTAGTTCGTAATGGGCCGCCCTATTTCTTATCGCCACAATATCTTGGTGGCTAAAATTTCCAGGATCCTTTAAATACTTATAAATGCTTCCAAACTCAGGATCCTTACCCAGTTCGGTTATTACAGTTTCTCGGGAATTTATTGTACATGCTGTGAGCATTGGCACCTTTACAGTATTACCTTCTTCATCTATTTTAATTCTGGATAGGGCATCTGCTACGATATTTTCCTTTCCGGGGGTATGCTTGATTACCAGATTATATTCTTATTAACCTTGGGGATAAGTTTTTCCCTGAGTACAATCTAGTTACCGCCGCATGATCAGAGTACACTGTTATTGGCACCTTTCCAAAATAGACTCGGAACTTTTGCACTGCTAACAGAACTGCAAGTGCCTCTCTCTCGGTCGCGGAATAGTTTCTTTGTGTTTGATTTAAAGTTCGGCTAAAAAATGCCACGGGCTGCTGATTTTGCGAAAGTACCGCTCCTACCGCATAATCCGAAGCATCCGCTGAAATTTCTAAATTCTCATCCTTTTCAGGAAATTTCAACACAGGGGCTTGCGTTAATGCTTGTTTTAATTTTTCGAAAGCACTATTGGCTTCGGCCGTCCACAAGAATCTTGCCTTTTTCCTTTTTAATTTTAACAATGGTTCAGCAATAGCTGCAAAATCTTTTATAAAGGACCTATAATATGAACAAAGTCCTAGAAAAGAAGAGAGCTTCTTCGCCGTGTTTGGAGTCGGATACTTTTGTACAGCGATTATTTTTGATTCGTCTGTCTCGATTCCTTTCTGAGATATTTTGTAACCTAAATATTTTAATTCAGGGGCTGCAAATTTGCACTTTTCGACACTAACTTTTAGACCGGCGTCATTTAATAAAGAAAACACCTGTCTTAAATCTTGTACATGTTGGTCGAGATTATCACTAGTAATAATGATATCGTCTAAATAGATAAATGTGGACTTTCCAAGAACAGGCCTTAACACAATGTCCATACATCGCTGAAATGTTGTCGGTGCCCCTGAAAGGCCAAACGGCATACGCAAAAATGCATAAGTGCCAGACTTGGTTATAAAAGCAGTCTTAGGCACGTCCTCAGGCCTAACCCCTATTTGAAAATAACCAGTCGTTAAGTCTAAAGTCGTCATATATTTGGTGGATGTTATGTTCCTTAGAATTTCTTCAATAACATGTAACGGATATACCGGATATTTAGTTATGGAGTTTAATTTACGGTAGTCAATTGCGAATCTCCACCTTTTTGGATGTGTCAATGGATAGTCATTATTTTTCTTACATAAAACCACCGGGCTAGCATAACTACTTGAGATGGGCGTTATGATCGTTTTACGTAGCATATCGGTGATATGCCATTCTATAATTTTTTCCTTATTCTTATCATACCGGTATGCTTTGTGGCGAACTGGCATTGAATCTCCGGTGTCAATACTATGGTTAGTAACCTGAGTAAATCCTGGAGTATCACTAAATAACGAAGCAAATTCACTTACCACTTGTCGGATTCTTCGTTGCTCTTCATTAGGCAGGTGGTCAAGGTTTAACATCGGCGGTTCAGCCTTTTCTTCTCGAACTGGTTTCATCGTCAGCTTAAGGGACGCTTCATTAAAATCTAGCGTTGCTTGTGCCTCTGAAAGAAAAATCTATTCCTAAGATAATATGTGCTTGCAGATTCTTGACTATGAAAAACATAACCTTTACTTGTTCATCCTTGATACGGACATACAGCGGTAATTTACCTATACACTTACATCTCTCCTTGCGCAGCTAACACTGTCGTATTATCCGAATTATATATACGATATTTACGAAAATACTTCCTAAAAAAATATTCTGCCACACAGGAACACTGCGCACCTGTATCCAGGAGTGCGGTAGCTGGGATATTATTCACCAACACTTCAATCTTCGGAAGAATCAAATTTTTCACCATTACTGTATTTAACTTGAAGGAAGAGGGGTTTTCGTGGCCTTCGGATTTCCGCACCCTCCCGTCAGCAGAAATCCGTTTTCGTTTAAATTATTTTTCATTTCCGTGCTTTCCTTCTTTTTCCACTGGCCTTGAGACTTTTTTCCTGGATTGCTATTGAACTGTCGACGTTCGCCGGCTGTTTTTGAATGCTCGGGTTTCCTTGCCCTCTGATTCGCTTTGCTTCCGTAGCCGTGTGCTTGAATTTGCTGTAGTCTTGGCGCACGCAAAAATTGGTTTCGCTGTTGATATTGGCGTCTTCTTTCAATGTCTTATTTCAATGTCGCCGTTCTTCTACTTTCAAACTGGATTGCTAGCTCAAATAACTTTTCCAGTGTAGTCGGATTTCTTAATTCAATAAAGTCTTGCACTTGGGGCAGTAACCTCGGCAAAATCACTTGAATTATCTCAGGATCCGGACGGTTTCCATACAAGAGTTTGAAGACGTGAATTTTTCTTAAAATAAAGCTTGAGAGATTTTCGATTCTTTGTTGATATATGCTGAAAAGTTTCGTTTCTAATTTCGCACGATCCCTTACGACAGGGAAGGCTTTTACTAGGGCAGTCTTGAAATTCTCGTAAGTATAGGTGGGACTTCCTGCTTGACCCAAGAGACTTCTGCCTATACATTTGAACCAATTAAGCGCTTGGCCCCTCAAAGCGCTGGTAGCTAAGGTAACTTTTTGAAATTCGTGCACGGGGTAGAGCATGAAGTGGTCATCCAATTTTTCCAAACAACTGGTTACCGGTGAGTTTCCATTAAATGTTGCTTCTGGTTTCATCGAAGCGCGCATGGTCTGGACGATGTAACCAAATCCTTCCAGGGCGGCAGCTGGCATTTCTGGATTCTGAGCCGCTTCTGCAGGCAGCACAGGTTCTTCTTGAAACTCGGCCATGGTTATTCTTCTTCGTTGGGCGCCACTATCAGGTTCAATGTTCCGTGTTACTTTCTTTGGGAACATGCAAGGACCTGACTCGGAACAGAGAGCTTACTAAAGCTATGTTCAATAACTGTGGGAAGTAGACAGGATACACAAGAAGGGTATACAAAACCCTTTATTTTTCTCTATTTACAATAATTTCCGTACTTCGGAATACAAAGACCCACTACTTGTGGTCTAAACGTAAGAATATAAAAATAGAACTAAACTCTAACTTAACTTTGAAATAATAAACGTGGAAGATTGGCCTTATATTAACAGGAAGCCGTATGTAGTACAGAGAACTGTTAACACTACAATACGTTTAAAATTATCAAGAGGATTAAACCTCTGGCCTGGAAGGCAACCAGCAACTGAGTAAAACTTCTAAGGTAAGCGGCCTGCTTCGACTAACTCCTTCCTCTCTCTCGCTTGGCAAAAAGTCACAACTTAAGTACTTGGCGTTCGCCATACAAATTTGCATAAATAAGTTAACGCTTTTAATTCTGGCCGGAAGTAGAAAATAAGAAGTGATAGTAAAGATTTAAAATAAAATAAACGTTAGTAAAACTTAAGATCCTTACAACTGCTGTCAACTCGCTTGCTTCCTGCTGCTCTTTCCTCCATTGAAACTAATCATCACAAATACGAGTATGATCAAGACTGGTCATGTTGATTGCGCCCATTATGCTACGTAAGTCCTGTTATGAATGTGCTTCTCATAAATAAAAAGTCTCAAATCAACCATTTAATATCGATTATACATCGCCTCTTTGTAAATCACGCTATGCGGCGTCAACAACTTTAAAATTATTACATATTTATGATGTGAATCAAGAAAAGATAGCCAGTGCTTAACTAGTAAAACGCTTAAATAATTTTGTTGTTTACTATACGTAATTTTCTCTTTTCTCCCCCCCCCTTAGGAGTGGATCCTTGTGCAAAAGAGAAAGGCGGATGTGATCAAGTATGTCGCTTTTTTAATGATCAAATGCAGTGTGAGTGTTACGAAGGCTATCATTTACTGTCAGATGGAAAATCTTGCAAGCGTACGTATTTTCAGTGCTTCTCTTTCTGACACAAAAGTACTTATATAAATTGTCTATTACTAGTAATTGTATTGAAATAGTATGGTTTTGAATCGACATTTTTTCCGAATTTTTAAGTATTCTTTTATTACAGTAAATAAAATCCAATATTTTGGAAGCTTTATTGATTTTGAATATGTATTGCATCTGAATATAGCCACATTTTATTTTTAAAATAACTATTTTTCTACGTATAAGTGACGTATAAGCGTACGTATAAATGAATACTATAATACTGTAATAAAAGTCCGTTGTTTTAAAAGACGATTAAATTTTGTTTTTAATTTTAGGAATTAATCCTTGCGAACGAAACAATGGAGGGTGCAGCCATATTTGTTTGTTTCAAGATGATTCTATGCGTTGCCAATGTAACAATGGCTATCGTTTGCAAGAGGATGGAAAATCCTGCAAAAGTATTCAACAGTGTTCCAAATCATTCCACTAAATTAAAAAAAACTCAATGTTTAAAATTAAGCAAAACAGTAAAATTTTTTGGCGTAGATTCTGAATAAAACTGTATCGATTTTCGAGGGCGATCGGACGCAGGTCCCGCTTCTTCAGGTGCAAAAAGAAGGAATTTTTGCTCCTAAAGCTGGAAAAGCTCTTCTGAAGAGGAATCCATCTCGTCTGAATCTGATCGCCCTGGAAATCATAGAATTTTATTAAAAAAATACTCTAACCTTATTGTTTTGCCTGATTTTAAATTTGACATTGGCATGTTTTTTTTCCAATTTGAAACTCTGAGTGTTCTGAAAATATTCAATGTGTTTTATTATTTTCTTATTTCGATGTAGCTTTTAGATTATGATGTATAAACTATAGATGATTATGATGTATAGAAATCAAAATAATATCATGACTGCGGAACTTTGCTAAATTTCTATAATGCAAAACAAAGTAATTTCCTAAGCTAAATAATTATTCGTTGTTTGTTTCCACTAGCAAACGAAACCGATACCGAGCGATCTTTTTTCTAAATTTATGAAAGGGTTATAGAAGCAGTACACTAACTAATAACAGTTTAAAAATACTAATATAATGCTCATTTAATTGTATAAATCAACATGAAAAATGCTTATTAATACTGATTGTTAATAATGTCGCTGCGTAAGGTCGTTGGTATGGAAATATTAGTGTGAATCCACTGTCAAGAAATTTTTGTGATTTTGTTATTGTAAATCCTCGAATGTGAAATTTTCTCAAAATCCAAAATTTACACAGCGCCGTTGGCGGATTTTGTCTCCCTCCTTCTTGTGGAAAAGAAATTATCACTTTGCTCTTAAAAATGTCTCTAAATCCAAAATTTGAGAAACTTCCAAGTGATGCCAAATTTAGCAACTTTTTTTTTACGGTAAACCTAGTAGGTTTTTAAGAAATTATATTATTAGTTCCTCGTGTGCTATCTGCAAGCTCTCGATGGTTATATACCAGCCAACCATTCATATATTTACCCCTGCCAATCGAGTACAGGGCGTTACTGTTAGTCAGAGTCCTCCATATTAGGAAAGTGGTTCGAGTTCGACAAAGAAATGTGCCGCATTTGCAGGACACTGAGTCGAAGCCTTGCAGACCTCAACCCGATCCCAGAGAAGTCGCCTTTTCAATAAACTTCGAAGGATTTGGAGGACTCAGTGATTCGGCATCAAGTCTGGCGGCTATCGCAAGTCAAAACAGCCGGAGTCCATTGGTATACAGAATTCAGAAACAGCTTCTGACAATGCCTATTTCGCAAAGACCCACTTTAAAATGAGTTCCCGCTCACACAGGGATTCAAGGCAATGAAGCCGCTGACCTACTGGCCAAGCAGGCAGCCAACTGCACGGATATATTAGAAAGACCAACTAAACTTCCTTGGTCTCATATTAAGCGAACAACTTTGACAAGTCTGCTACAAAATTGGCAAAGTAGATGGACAGAGGCAGAGGTAAGACGAAGGACATTTCGCTTACTGCCAAAAATTAACATGGAAATAAAGACCCACTGTGCTAGCCTAACACAGTTCTTGACAGGTCATGGACCATTCCCAGTATACCTGAACAGATTCAGACTTAGGGATACTCCTTTCTGCGAATGCGGAGAGGAAGGCGACACGGACCATTATTACTTCCACTGTGTACATACAGGAACCTGGCACTTGAAGAAACCAGCGAACTGTGCCTGGGCAATGTGGACGACTAACACACTCAAAAACAGAATAGCCCTTGATAAAATAGAGAAAATCTCAGGACACTGCCTAAGCAGAAAAAACCGTGGATAATATTATAATGTTTCAAAAGTTCAGAACTTAAAGCTATAACCAGAATAACGCTTAGTGCCTTGCAGTTAACAATATGTAAAAACTGTTATTAGTTTATAATATTCAACCTTGTTACTCTGGAGTCTTCCCCGCCGTCATGGTATATAATTCCGTTTGGCTCATGTCCGTGGTCGAAAGCCATCATAGCGGTGCACTCACTCACTCACTCACTATATTTATACTAGATTTTAATTTTGGGGTGATGAGCCCTCAGCTATAGCATGTGTAACTTATTCATATATCCTGTACTGACTACTCATCCGAAGGGATGACAATTAGGAATCCAGTCTATGTATTTTGTGCCTCCAGACCGAGATTGTTGAAAGTTCAGAACTCAGCCAGCCCAAAAAGTTAACCCGAGGGCCGTGGTTATGTACACAGAATTTCGTAATTCTGTAACTGTGTAGAGTCATTAGGAGTTTTTGGAAGCCAGAGAGATGAAAAAGAAGCAACCGCCTTCGCCGGGAATCAAACCACGGACCTCTGGAATACCGGCCCAGAGTGCTACCGTTACACCACGAAGGCACGCTAGGGAAGTGGTAGAAATACCTTATATACTCCTCTTCTTAAAGGGCGACTAGGGTTTTAGGGGACCTAGTCGCCAAATCCTGGGTGCGGAGAATCATCATCCACAACCCTTTTAGTTCGGGCGCCACTTGTAGAGTCATTAGGAGTTTTTGGAAGCCAGAGAGATGAAAAAGAAGCAACCGCCTTCGCCGGGAATCGAACCACGGACCTCTGGAATACCGGCCCAGCGTGCTACTGTTACACCACGAAAGCACGCTGGGGAAGTGGGAGAAATACCTTATAACTGTATGTTCAATAAAATGAAACCTGTTAAAGTATTTATGTATCTCAAATACAGCGCGCAGTTTAACATAACTCGATGCTCAAAGGTTTTTATAACACCAAAAGATAAATATTTATTATTAGCTACATAAATTTATATCAATGAAAGAGACAAAACTAATCTAAATCGAATTTATAATATAAAAAGGAAACAAACAAATATTTGGACTAATTTAAGCACTATTTTTAGTCGTTTTACTTGTGTTCTTTTGTTAGTAGTTTTCATGATTGCTGCTTGCTTTAGGAATAGATCCATGTACCATAAGAAACGGAGGCTGTTCCCAAATTTGCCATTTTCAAAATGACGCTGTTTCTTGCAAGTGTTACGATGGATATCTTTTGGAAGCGGATGGAAAAACATGCACGAGTAAGATAATGTATTTTATCTATGTAATAACTTAAAGATCAAATCGATTCGTTTAGAAATTCGGATCAAAAGTGTAAATCAAAAGCATGGTTTATCGCCCAGTTTCGTTTTATATATATATATCTGAGAAATATACAGGGGAACCTCTAGATACGAGCACCTCTATATACGAGAAATTCGAGATACGAGGAAAGTATGAGCGAAAATTAGTCTTTAGAGACTAATACGAGCACTGACTCAAGTAACGAGCAATGAGTCAGCCTGTTGGTAAGCGCAGCGCTATTTCCCGATCCGGCTCGACTGGGGAAATCTTCTCGTCAGATCACTCAGTGTTCTTTGATCTGCATGTTTGTGCGCTCATAAGTCAATTGTTTTTTACATTTAACGTGAAAATAATTATTTCATGATGCCTCCCAAGAAGATTGCTGCCTCAGATAGTGCTGCGAAGAAAAAGAAGGAAGCATGGCCGTTGAAATTAAGAAAGAAATCATAGGTAAACATAAGCGTAGTGTAAGAGTGACGGAATTGGCGAAGACTTACGGCCGTTCACATCAATGATCTGCACTATTTTGAAGAAGAAGGAAGAAATTAAGAAACTAGATGTGGCCAAAGGAATCCGTTGCTTCCAAGCACCGTCCCAAACTCGTTGATGATGTTGAGAAGCTGTTGTTGGTGTGGATTAACGAGAAACAGTTAAAAGGCGATTCGGTGTCGGATGCTATCATTTATCAGAAGCTACCATAAAGGTAAACTGCGGTTATGTTATTTATCAGTGTTATTTATTAGAATTTATGTTGATATTTTTCGGGGTGCGGAACGGATTAACTGGATTTCCATTATTTTCAATGGAGAAGTTTGTTTCTAGATAGAGAAATTCGCTACACGAGCCCAATGCTGGAACGAATTAAACTCGAATCTCGAGGTTCCACTGTAATTCCAGTTTGGTGAAGCTTAAAGTAATTAAATAACTCATCAGTTTTGCTGACATCAGTAAATATTTTAATTTGGGATTTATAAGACCGACTATAATTTACTATCAACTCTAATTTGGTTTATATCGCATGTCTGTGGAAAAGAAGTGTTACAGTGTTGGGGGTGCCATCATTGGTCACCCAACTTCCCATGCATCGAAAATGGTTTGTTAAAGGTTTACATATTTTAGTACCAGTCAAACTGGGTGTAGATGAGGGAAAGTCACATCATAAATACTTCCTTTTCACTTAAGAAACCAAATTAAATTTCTTATCAGCTATTGTACATTATAAGAGTATTGTATGCACTTTAAAGTCCGTTATCTATTAATTGTTTATTAACTTTTTCTGTTATTATTATAGTATTTGTACATCCAAATGCAGGATTAGAAAGCAGAAAAACTTTTGTATACAAGGAGGATATTTCTTTCCATTCGGCTTCGCACATACGGTAAAAGCCCATTATATCGCGAAACGATATACCACGAATTCTGATATATCCTGATATATATATATATATATATATATATATATATATATATATTCAAGTATACCACGGTCATACTGCTTTAGTTTGTAGATGCTTTAGTTTCTTTTTTAATAGCTTTAGAACATTACTTCTTGATACGTATTTTTGTTAATTCAATAATTCAAAATAATTTAATTTAAAGGAATTTAATTTTGTAAAGATAAATTAACTAACTTTCCTTTAGAGATATCCCCATTAGTTTCTATAAGCATTAATGTCATTATAAATGTATTTTAGGAATCAATCCTTGCACTATAAAAAATGGTGGTTGTACTCAAATCTGCGAATTTCGAGGCGCGGCAGTGTCCTGCAAGTGTCATGACGGATACCGTTTACAAGCAGACGAAAAAACATGCAAGAGTAAGTAGATTTGATACTACGTCATACTGAAATGGAATAGTGTCAAAGCCGATAAATTCATCTACTATTGAATAGATTGTATTTTTTAAACTTTTTTTAAAAATCTTTTCAAGCTGTATTCAGAATGCATGAAATCTGGATTTCCTTTCATATATTTTTGCCGCTTCATCTTCTCTTTATCGTAACAAAATTTTATTTATTTATTTTAATAGTATTTTTTGCTTAAAGTTATTTGAATTTTTATGCATAGAAATTATTATTATATAATTATATTTCAACATTTAAAAACTTTCTAAAATCAGATTTAATAATCGCATCTTAATACTTAAAATGTCTGTAAAATACTTAATACTTTGTAATGTTGCGCGCTTCCAACCTGCACGCAACAATAGTGGTGACTGCTGAGAACTAGAAAGTAGACAAAGTCTTGAGAAGGGCTTAAATCCCTTTTTATTCAACTTTAGAAATTACAAATGCGTGCTCTTGACGCTCACAAACTACGCCGACCCGGCGGTAAAATAAAAATAAGAAACTAAAAAAAAGAATAGTAACAAGTGACTAACTACGAGGTTCTCTAAACGTAACTAACCTCACCGCGTTCTAAGATACCGCTGATAATTCAGCAAACTTCTGAATATTACGTTGAAAGATTAACAATCTGCCGAGGTAAGCACACAGGCCGAAACGCGTGGTTCTTCAATTTCTAACTAGCCACCTCCACGCTCGTGAAGCAAGGAAGCACACTTTCGAACTCGTTTCCCTTCTATTTAACTCAGATTACTTCCGCTGACAATTTGAATCCTTGCGCGTTCTACTAAAATTTACATACTCTGGCATTAGCAATTCCAGGGGAAAGTAAGGCTTGACAAGAAAGATAGTTTAAACTTAAAATAAATGTTAGTTAAAATAAATATAAAACCTACAACTTAAATGTCTTTCTCGGTGCATCTCTAAATTCTAAAATTTTGTCTCCTGTAAATTTTGTTACTTAGTGTCTCCTTTAAATTCTAAAAATTCCTAAATTCGCCATTCCTGAGTTTTTTTATTCGATGCTTCTTCAAATTCTAAATATTTTGTAGCTGGGTGCCGCTGCACCTGCTGCACCAAATCTGGCGCCGATTCTACCATCCTAAAGTTCTTTGTTTTGAAAATTGTTATAATACACTATCTTTCAGTTTCTGTACATATAGCTTTGATTACTCTTCCTTTGTAACAAATTTCTGGGTATTAGTTATACTGTATCGGTTTCCATAGCTTAGACTGTGGCTTCTAAAGTTTTATTTTTGTTATATTCGGAATATATGAAGCTGATTTCCGGGTATAATTTATGGTCTAATAAAAACGGTCTCCGTTTCCTGATTGATTTCTGGCTTATGTCTCAACAGTCGTTCACCTAATTTGCGCGTTCAAGAATGTCAAGGGAGAAAAACGAACACTTTTCTAGAAAGCGAAAATTATATTAATATTTAGATTAATGTCAGAAGTGGGCTGTATAGATGGTTACTTATCTCAGTACATACTCATACAAAGTCTTAATGTTTTTCCAGGTGTATCAAAAATTAATTTAAATAACCTGCTTTCTCGTACTACATTAAAAGGCACCATATCTGTCCGGTATGCGAAAATATCTTCTGGAATTCTTAAAGACTGAAAGCACATATCTGTAATATTACCTTCATGCGATGGTTTGTAGATGCTTTATTTTTTTTTACCGTGGTATTTTCTACGATGTCTTCTCCTTGCTTTTTTTTCTCCCATAATGTTATTCTTCGCGATGTATTCGTCTGTAATTGAGAAACTAAATGGCATGCCTTTATAATGCGATAATACCGAAATGAATATGCTTAAATGACATATTTATCGTTTTCATTATTTTTTAGAAATTAATCCATGCACCATCAACAACGGAGGATGCTCCCAAATCTGTGAGTTTCGGAATGATGTCGTATCCTGCAAATGTCGCGATGGACACCGTCTGGAAAGTGATGGAAGATCTTGCCAAAGTAAATGCACAACTAATATGATGTTGAACTTGTATAAATGCTTGACTTAGGGGCACCGAAATTCAAAGCAATTTCAAATCCGTGTATATTTTTGACAGATACCTTACTGATAGCACAAACAGTAGATTAAAATATATTTTGAAAGTTATGCGTGCTGTATTACTATAATAAAGTGAGCTAGGAAAAAAACAAATTTTTGAAGTTAAGGTAGTAAATTAAAAGGAAGAAGATATAATACGTCTATAGAACAGCAGTGTCTGCATCGACATCGCAAGTTTAATTTATACATTTGGTGTGAAAAGAAAACTGTAGTTTATTAAGCTTGTTAAATCAAAATCATGTGATTATTGTTTACATAGTTTTGGGAAAAATGTGTGGTAATAAGGATATAATTACATAAAATTTTTCCTAAAGCTAAACATGACTTATATCTGAAATATAACTTCAACGAATGATAAATAAAGTTATGCGAAAAAAATCGTAGATGTAGATTTTCACGTTGTAATGGCTCTTTTTCTCAATTTCAAATAGCATTTTGTTTGTAAGTAGTTCTAACATTTATTAGAATATTGCTTTAAATATCTTTGTAATCATTAAATCATCTATTCGACATTGTGTTTGACTTCTGTTGACTAATTATTAGATTTTAAGCGGTAATCCATTTTGATTACAGTAGAGTTTCACAAACTCGACCTGATACTGACTGAGAGTAGGTCGAGTTTCACCGAAGAATGGATGGGTTATTCACAAATTATGATATTTCGTTCATCACCTAAATCCATGGAATTTGAAAAGTCATCTTTGTCGGGTCTGTTAAAGTATCCAGTTTTATTTCCATTGTCATATTGATTTATTTTTTCTTCTCGTTTGACATTTTTAATTTTACAGACAACACAACACTTGTAAGCTTGTATATAAACAGATAAACTCTACTCAGAACGAACTGAAAGTGTAGCTTACAATAGAGTACAGCCATAAACCTTCAAGCAAAATTGCTAATGGCTAGCAAATGAGTGGAATGTGATTGGTGAACGACTACCTGACTTTCTACAGCTATTTTATTATCGAAAGGAGGAATGGGATAGATTGGAACATTCACGAAAAGAACAAAACCTGTCACTAAACTCATTATACTGGTTCAAAAAAATAGTATCTCAAACAGAAAAAGACAAAAATTGCAAAACTAGAATCCATAACAAATCTTTCACCGACAGAGGTGTATTTAGACTCGATAAGACGCTAAGCTATATGAGATATGGGGCCCTTTATAAGTCTGTTATACTATATTTTAACACTATATTTATACTATATTTTACTTTTTGGGGAGCCCACAAGAAAGGGGGGGCCCTAAGCTATAACTTGTATAATTTATACGTAAGTCCTGCACTGTTCACCTAGCAGAAAAGCATGCGGACATTCATATGCATAAACACATATTGTAATTACAATAGCACAGTAATTAAAACGTACCTTTTGCATCATTAATAAAACCTTATTTTAATAATAATGTTTTGCTTGATCAGCAGATTCTAGCGATTAAAGAAAAAGTTATCGTAGAGTTATACAGAATGTTGAATAATCAGGAATCAAGTTTCTGGAACTCTACTGTATATAAGAGTCATTCATTAAAAAAAGGAGACGAAGTGTCTATTACATTTAATAATTTTCCAAGAATTAGACATTTATTCTAACAGAACGCCAAACATATTATATGTTTTCTTGTTATAGTCCTTAAGCTGCTCGTGAAGTCATACTGCAATTCTCTCCTTCACGTTGTCTTTCGAATGGAATCGTTGTCCTCGCAAAACGATTTCGTTATTCATTTTCTTATATCTTGTCACAGTTGACTACCCGTGACGGGAGGTCCTCTCCTTCTTCTTGTATCTGTTGTATAGTGTTGAAGGCACTGAAGAGAGCCATACGAAATGCCTGTTGCTTCTCACTCAAATTGTAAAGCTCCTGTTGGACCACATTTTTCGGAAATTCACTTGTTTCGTAAGGTGCAATTTTAACTCTCAAAAGGAAAACGTCAACTTAAGTGTTTTCTAATGTGAATTTGTTTTGTATTGTTACATGTTTGTCGTATTGACTGAACTATTTCAATTTTGCAACAATTACATCTGCAACGCGCTTTGGTACATCTAAACCTCAGTTCTCTGTCAGAAACTGCCGTCTTCTTTTAAAGCGCTCTTCCACCTTCGCAAGTGACGTGCAGTTTTATTCCCGTGTACCTTTGACATCCGTCGATAAATTTTAATATCTCTTACCTCTTTTTACGTTTAAAACGTAATACCACGCATTCTTTTTTCCATGCAACTATGTTTTATCAATGGGTTTACCTGTCACTATGTGGACATTGCACACGGTTGTTTGTCTCCTTCTGCTTACATCGTTTTACAACTAGCTACCTCTGACATCCTATGCACGTGTGGCAATTTTCTGCATAGGCTATAACTACTCTTTAGACACTTCGGCAGCGCTGAAAAAAATGCCGGTATCTCCTGCCAACTCCTTTTTCTACTGAATGCTCATCATAATTTAAATTGAAGTTTTGGTAAAAACTACGATTTAGACCTATTTTTATTACATATTATACTCAATTGATTCTGTAAATATTAAAGGACGAATATTTTATTAATTATACTACAGATACTGAAATAATTCAAGTTCATACTTTAGGAATCGATCCTTGCACTATAAAGAATGGGGATTGCTCTCAAATTTGTGACTTCCAGAATGGTGAGATATCTTGCTCGTGTGCCCATGGATATCAATTACAAGGAGATGGAAAGACATGCAAACGTAAGACAAATTTATAATAAAATTAAGCATTCAAAATCGTAACTTATATAAAGATTAAAAGTGTTTCTTGAATATATTAAATTTTGGTGTTTGAGATTTTTTCTAACATTTTAAATTCAACTATTATCTAGGAAGATTATCTAAGGTGATTGAAAACTTTTGAGCAATGCTAAAGTGTGATGTTACACACCTTAAGCAGAACTTTTCGGGACACAGTTCTTGACTGTAACTTGGACGATGAAACGATAGAAGATGCTTTCCAGTGAAGACATGTAATGAAAATAAGAGTATATTTGCAACAGCGTAGTATTTCAAGAATCCACAAAAAGATAGCTCTGTTTTTAAGCCAAAACCGAAAGAACGGGGCACTTTCAGATTAATAGTAGTGCAATCAAAACAGACTGCTTTAGCCGCGCAGCTGACTTCACTCTCCCTTCATTCGACTTGCGAACAAAATTGTGGAGTAAAGTAAAGTGAATTTATATAAGCGCTGGGTTTCGCACTCGTTGTCATTTCTGCCATAGATTTCCAAAAGAATGCGTAGTTTCACGAATCAGGAGAAGCGTAAACCATTTCATTTACCGAACTGCAGAAGAGAATGCTCAAAGACAGTACACGATTCTTACAAAATGCGGGTCGAATCATGAAACCTTCGGGCGACTGAGAGTAGAGAAGCTTCCTTGGCAGTGCCTTGAAAGATACAGGGCGTCCAAGGAGTGCGAGAAAACATTTTGTTGCAGAGAAAATATTGCGTAATATTAGAGATTATTTCGAATGTAGCATTTGGGAAATTTCCCATGTTTTAAGTTTGCCTGAATCGATGGGTGACGCCTCCTACAAGATGAAAGATCACATTCTTATCATGCAAAAATAATGCAAGCCTTGATGTTTGTAAATTATCAGCCTCGCATTAATTTTGCGCAGTAGCTTCTTCGGTAGACTACAGTGCAGCCGAAATTTCCTGCAAATTGTTTAATTCACTGACGAATTCAGGTCAGAAGATTTTTAATTGCCATAACACGCATATATGTGGAAAGCAATGTGCTCGTCACTTTTTACATTTGTATCAGCATACACTCCTACCACTCAGAACATATATTTGAGCAAGATTCGTCCATAATCACTTCATTACCCGTACCCTCCGTCAGGCTCGTATATAGTTCCAGTATGAAGAAGAACGCTTCATTCCATTTCAGCCCGGATATGGGGACGCCTTGAATGCAGCATTGTTAGGACTAGTCGGGGTGGTCGCATCAACTGGTCAGTAAATAGCCATATTTTTCATGTTTTATCCTCTGGCAACTTTAGTAAAGCTTCATCCACGATAGCTCGATCGATTCCAACAACAACCTGGTTGCTATGATTTCTGTTGCAACTACTATTGTTCGTGAAATGTCAATGTATGCCGGTAATTAAATAGAAAATGTGAAGCCGCCATACATGTTGGCATTCAATGGTTTTGTAAAGATCTTAAGTTTGACTAACTTTTATTTTGTTTTAACACTTTACTGTCCTCTCTTATTTTTCACTTCCGGCCAGAAATAAACGCGTTAAATTGTTTATGCAAATTGTACTTGCTAACGCTTAAGTATTTAAGTTGCGGCTTTTCGCCAAGAACAGAGTTAGATGGAGAGAAAGTTAGCCTCCTTGCCACTGTGTTCCACGCGAGCTTTCAATCAGTTGCTGTCCGCCTTTAAGGCCAGTGGTTTAGTCCTGTCGATATTTAAAACGTATTGTAGTTTTCCGCAGTTTGCGCTCTACATACGTAATAAACTAAAACGCCAACCTTAGTGTTAGTCATCTGTATAAAGTATTAGAAATTAGCTTTTATTTAAATTTAGTTAGTTAGTAGTTCTTATATTTTTACGTTCAGACCACAACTGGTTGGTCTTTGTATCCCGAAGTGTGGGAGCGCCTGTAATATCGTGGTAAGTAAAGGGTAGTTAAACCGCGAAGCAGGTAAGGAGGAATAGTAGTCCTGATAGTTTATAAATATATTCAATAAAATATTTTTTGTAATTTAGTAAACTTTTCCTTTCCTTTTCTGCCATTCTTTTGCTTTTTAACCTCTATAACTTAACTGCTTCAGCTAAATCCATACACTGCATATCGAAATATGCTTATTTAGGTTTGTTTTGTCACCCCACAAACTTTGAGCGAAGAGGTTTTGAATCACTCTACATATTTTTTCACATAGAAGTTTTTTCCTTTAATTCTCAATCGCATTCTGCTATTGAATAGAAGACGCAATACTGAAGCATATTGAAAAGAAATCCTTGTTGAAGATTGGCATATACGCTGTTGATTGCTCTAAAATTTTTCAATCCATACGAACTTACGTTTAAGATCTCCGATCTATTTTCAATGAGGATAATTAAGTATAAATTCATAATATATAAAGAAATAAATATTCATTTCTTAACTTTCATATATTACTCACTGTGGACTGATTCTTACTATTTAAATCACTTTTAATTATTTATTAGAATATTGCTGGAAATGCCCCATAATTCAGTATATTATATATCTGATGTTAGTTTTTATTCTTATGGGTAATTATTAGATTTTAAGAGGGAATATCATTTGATTATAATTTAAATATAGGCTTTGTTAAAAGTTCTAATCTAAGCCTACAGAGGATGCTCACGCATTTTTAGAACGATTTCGATAAAGAACTAAAACAATATTTTGGAATACAAATTTTTTGCAACAGCTAATTATCTGAAATGAGAAATATCGTATGTTACTTTTTAATTCATTTATCATTCAAAATAGCGAATTAAACAAGCTGTAGATTAAAGAATATATTTTTGCACTTTCGGAAAAGAAATATTCCTATTCCATAATTCAAAAATTTTGTGAGATGTATGGTATTGAAATTTCTAAATGCAAAATAAGCAACATTATTAATCGGAAAGAGAAAAACAATCGGTCATTACTTCTACATAGAAAGAAGACTCCAAACGAATACCCGAAAAAGGTACGATTTTTCTAAAATTAAACCATTGGTAACAAGAGAAAATCCGCAGACGTAGAAGTTCTTTACCTGTAACAACAATAACTAAAATAATAAACCAAGATTTACTACTCATAAAAGCTAAAAAGCACAATGCTCACCAGCTTTTGCCGAGGCCTTTGACTCAACGCAGAACAATTTGTAGAAAACTGTATGAAAACTATTTCGCAGAAGATCATTAGGAATACTTTGCGACCTTTGATGAGGAATGAATTTACTCAAATAACTGGGGGAAAAAAAAAAAAAAAAAAAAGTCTTTTATTACCGTAAACGGAGAGATTGGTTCCTTCAGTGCAAATAAAGTTTTAGTAAGGAATTTATGATTTTCGCAGGATTCTGTTACAATGCGAAATTAAAACTATGAAAGTGGAAAAAACGCTAAAATCAACTGAACTTACTTTTAAGAGAAAGCATTACGTTTCATATTTGCAGAAAATTTCCATTTCATTATCTCAATGACTTTCAAAGAATGAAACATCATCAAGACAAAGCAACAAGTAATACTTCGAGAAGTACCACTGCATTCCTTGAAAAAATGAAGACTGATACAGGTATTGCATATATATCATTTCGACGTATTCCTGCAAAGTCCCGTGACGTTTCACATATGGACTATTTTGCCAAGGTTTTGCATATATACGTTTTCAACGTATTCCTGCAAAGGCTCCTGACATTTCACCTATGGACTATTGTGCCTTTGGTTTCTTAAAAAGAGCTTTATCTAAGCGCAAACACACCACGACTGAGGGACTATGGGAAAAAGTGGAAGAGGAAGGGAAATTAGTACCCTTTGAAATTTTACGAAAAGCCCTTTTATCATGGAAATTTTAAGGCAAACTTATAGTCCAAATAGAAAGCAAACAGACTGAAAATTGAAAAGCGTAATCTTTACATTTTAAACATTAATTAAACGGCCCCGAAATCTTTCTAAAAATGTGCAAACACCCTCTGTATTTGCATTACATTCTATACGCAGCAAATGTATTTTGTAAACATGCGTAAAATAGTTTAAGAATTTATGCTAAAGATATTGAAATAATATATATTAATTTCTTAGGAATCAATCCTTGCACTATAAAGAATGGGGGTTGCTCGCAGATCTGCGAATTCCAGAATGGTGAGGTATCTTGCTCGTGTGATCATGGATATCAATTGTTAGAAGATGAAAGAACATGCAAACGTAAGACAATCTTATATTGTATGAATATCCAAAGTCTTTCTTGAACTTGAATATATTAAATTTCCATTTTTGTTACTTCATCTTTAATTAAAAATACAAGTAGTGTCTTGGAAGCATATACTCCAGCAAGCAGTAAACCATCAAAACAGACGTATTTTGTTTGCATTCTGTTTAGAAGGTGTAATTAAAATTTACTCAAAACGTTTAAAAAGCTTCTTGGAAAATGCTTGTTGGTTTGTTCTGTTTGAAATATGAAACAAATTATAATTTTGTCAACTTTGATGTAGCATCTATCAGAACATACATACTTGCAACCAGTGCTTCTGATATTTCTGGAAATTGTTAAAATACCTGTTTTGGAATCGATTCACGGACTGGATATTGCATAGATTTCGAGTTTGAATTGTTTAAAAACTTTGCTCCACAAGAACCATCTTCATAAGAGAGAGAAAATATCAAGGTCAAATGGAAAGAAATCTGGCAAAAATTGGTTGTGGCATTATAGGGAGATGTTTCTTATCAAAGAAACACACGCTTCTTTTGCCTAATTTCTTTTGTTGGAAACACATCGAACTTCTGTATTAGATCTTTGATCTTGTAAGGTTTATGGATATAAAATTCCACATAGAAAGACAGCTTTCCAATTCGTAACGCATTAGAAATTCTTTCAGCTCTTGATGGATCCGATTTCGTTTCAAAGAACTATTTCTGTCTCACATTTTCTTTCTTTAATTTAATGAGAGGTAATGTTCTTTACTCTCGCTCCCATAACTTGCTGTTAACAGCAAGTCGTTAGAGGTTTATTTGCTTTTGCGCTAGAACATGAATTGCATTTTTCCAGGTTATTTCACTTCGTATAATTCTTCTTCCTTAGAATTCAGTAACGCCTTTAAACAGCGGAATTAATTTTGAAACATGTGAAATGGCTTTTCTGGAAACGGTAACAAAAATATACACTTGACTTCATGATATTTGTTCTATTTAATCTATGTCCTATTTGATCTTTATCTTATATTCTTGTATAAGTTAAAGATTCCGAGCGTGGTATTCAGTGTTCATATTTTGCAAGTATTCTTAATCTTACGTTTATTCATTGTTGTTCGATTGAAATTAAAAAAGTATCAAACGTACCTAAGCATTGATTCTACGCTTTATACCAACCAATAAATGTGATATTAATGGGAAAGGAAATAAACAATGCGTTTTCTAATGTACTATCTACTGTGGTAATGCTGTAAGATCTATCTCTACATACACTAACTTAAACCTACAATGAACCTGGAGAATTCTCGTACAGGCGTGAATTAAATACCAGCACAGAAGAAGGGTGCAAAATAACGCTTTAAATAAATCAAACTAATTTAACAGAAAGCACGGACTTCGTGCGTTACAAAACACCGTTCACTTGCGCGGTAAATAAACGTAGACTATAATACAAATCAGATCTGAAAAATAAACGAGTGCAAGAACGCACTTCAAAATTACTCCTAAGAGATGGATTCACAGAAATCCAACCGGCGGGATACTAAACTGATAAGGCCAAAAGGCTTACTAACGTGACCGCGAAATAACAATGAACGTGCGCTAGGCTAGCGAAACACGCTCTGAATAAACTGAGATAGTCACGCGTTTAAATAGCATTTCACTTAACTTTAAATTTACATCCTGGCGAGAGAATATGAGGGGAAGTGAGAAGTTGAGAACAGGAAAACTTAAAATAAATTTGTTATGCAAAATAAAGAAAACCCTACAATGCTTCTTACGAATAATACCTATTCAGATAAATATACTTTATATTTTAATTTCTCACAATCAAAACGTGAGGTTTTATTACAGTAATAATAATAAATGCCTCGGTAAAATTTGGTGCTGAAATGTTTTGTCATATTTTTTATTACTGACGACAATTTAAAAAAAAAATGTTTTTTCCCATAAAATGCGATATATCTATGTAATATAATTAGTTGGTGTGCGGTTAATATATGCATTGTGGAGTTTTTTAGAATGTGTTTACTGAAAGTTGATACTTCATAATGGGTTGGGTAAACTGAACCAACAGAAGATTATGATATTTTTATTGGAATATACAACAATTTTCTCGTCTAAATATTATTTGAATGCTGAAATTGGTTGTTGGAGAAAGAAATTATATAGATTCTCAAACGATGTTATTCCGCTCCTCATTTCTTTAGAAATTATCTTAAAGTATATGTTTCTACATACGTTTGCTAAATAATGGATCAAAACCGTTCTAAATAAGTGTTGTTATTTCATTTATTTACGAAAACGATATCTGTAAGATTTTACATGTAATGAATACCCAGCAGCTGTGGTACTATTTCAAATGATATTTCAGATTACGGGGCTAAGCAAGTTATGATGTACCCCAACCAATAATATCGTGTGAAGTTTCCTACTTTAAGAATCTTATTAGGTAAAGCATCAAAGAATATCAAAGAAATCTCTTTAGAGAATTTGCTAAGAGTCCTGTTGTTCTTTATTATGTATGATAATTCCTTATAACTCACATACATTGTGGATATAGAAAACGGTCTTCTTCGAACTGGCTACGAGTATTTACAAAAACATTTCCTTCGTATGGGTGGGACATGACCTTTGCTGGATACAGTATATCATAACTGGTGACTGTCTATACATTTAACTCTGAAGATTGTAATTCTGCAGAGAATATAAACTTTTTGCTTGTTTTTAGACATAACTGAGCTGCTTAACTGAGACTAATTTACTATCCTAAATTGTATCCTAATTGAGACTAATTGGTTGTCCTAACTGTTAAGTTATATCGTATCTAAAACGTCAAGATACAACTTAAGATAAAAAAAAAAAGAATATTTCAAGTAAACAAATTTTTATGTGAATACTGTAGTAGAAAAAAATCTTGCTGTAAAATTCTATGTCCTCTTCTCTATTTTAGGAATTGATCCTTGCACAATAGAGAATGGAGGTTGTTCTCATATTTGCCAGTTAAGAAATGGCGCTGTATCCTGTCAGTGTCACAATGGATATCTGTTGAAAGAAGATGGAAATACATGCGAAAGTAAATTATTTATGTCTTTTCACCTATTAAAAATGTTTTTAATTGGAAATATTCATTCCTTAACCTTGACTAAAGTTTTTATTCCTTTGAGATGCTCTCGTGCGATGTATATCCGAGGTTTCTTTTATTTTTCCTTTGCATTTTAGGAATTGATCCTTGTACAGTAAAGAATGGAGGCTGTTCTCAAATTTGCTACTTAAAAAACGATGTAGTATCCTGTCACTGCCGTGAAGGATTTATCTTGAAAGAAGATGGCAAAACGTGTGAAAGTAAGCATGTTTAAACAAGATTATCAAACTAATGCTAATTACTTAGGATAAAACCATTCATTAATAACGAATTAAACTCAGAAAAATACAATCTAAATTGCGAGCAAAATACATCAGGGTAAAAACTACAGTAAGAGATCAGGGAAAAAAACAAACCTCCTTGCCCCCTAATAAGCCTTTTATGAAAAACGTTTCTAATCTCTATAGGCATAAAAGTCTTTACCACTCTTTAATTTCGCAACCATTGGTGGTAAACGTATACTAAATATGAAAAGGTTTTAAATGATGCAAATATTCATGTTTTGACATTTTTTAATTTAAAATGCTCAGTTTTATAAAAATTACGGTATCTAACTTTTCGAACGGTCCGTACTTATATTTAGGAAACTTTTATACTCATTATCAAAATTGATGCACAAAAGGTTTGCTTCCAGTACGACAAAATTTTTGCTAAATATTTAATTTCAAAGTTTTGCATATGTGATGTCAATTTCAACTTGCTTGGAGGGGTCAGTTAATAAATAAATAAGAAAACTCCGAGAGTCATTTTACCGCTTAAATGCCATTCAACTGGCGTTTTGCAGTTTCCTAATGTGTGACATTCTGTAATTTATAATTTTATTACAAATGGTGTGCCTAAAGAATTTTCACACAGATAATTTATAAGTTTTCAAACACTAGGAATACCTTATTAACATTCTCATAAAGTTTTGTTTAGATTTGTAATCTAATAATCATAGAAAAATTCATTTAACTAGAAATATTTTTAATTTTTAATTTATACAAATAATTTTACAAGTGTTAGTTATATACCGGTAATAAAGCCTCCCAGTGTTTTCCAGAATACAACTTCAGGAATAAGAAATTTTTGAAGAACATTGTATTGATGAACATGTTTCACGGCAAACTGCAGATAAAAGTGATGGTGATTTTATCTTTTAATATCAGAAACTTTTTTATAAACTTATATTTTATTTTTAATTATGCATAAATGCAAACATCTACTTCTTCAATTCTGTATACAGCCCCTGAAAACAATTGGTGTGCCTAAAGAATTTTCACACAAGTAATTTATAAGTTTACAAACACTAGGAATACCTTATTAACATTTTCATAAAAGTTTTGCTACTTTAGATTTATAATTTATATTTAGGAAACTTTTATACTCATATTTAAGTAACTTTATTTCTAGTAAACTAAGGGCCACGTTACTTGTTGATATTTTACGACAATATTCCTGTCTACGGCGTTGCTTTATTCTTTCAAATAATGCTGTCACACTGGTGTAGGCTAAAGCCAACTTACGCGTTCACTATCTCTACACTTAGTTTTAATAGAATTCCACTTTTTGAGTTTACCACATAAATGCTGGATAGTTTGTAAGCGCCTTCTGTTCAACTATTTGAATTCGTGTCTTTTACACCCTTCATACGTTTCTGTTTGCTTAATTAGACATAGCGATAAGTCTCTTAGTTCTACTTAGAGTCTTGACTTAATGTATGCTTACCAAATTGAGTGAGACTCTACAGCATATAAAATGAATAAAAAGATAAAAGAAGTGCATTTTAAATATTGCAACGGTGAAAAACGTATTCATTTTGTGTGCAGCATCTGCTATGATCGCGATCCAAAATGACAGGGGATCGCTGCGTTATCCTTATAAGCCAATTCGAATAATCCTGATCACAGTTAGTATTTTTACCAGAAAGAAACATGTTGTAAAAAGGGAAGAGGTAAATTACAGCGAAAGGAATTCGTCTTAGGGGGCGAGGTCTACTGACTTTAAATTTGAAATTAGTTTATAAATTAGTGTCGTTTAAATCGGAATGACTTTGACTCCTATTTTGAAGGTTAGAGAGACTCAGAAACTTTGCATTAAGAAATAATGATCGCAAAAATGGAAGTCGTGTTAACTAAGTTCGACTATATATACATATATATATAATTTATATATATATATATATATATATATATATATATAAGATAAAAATATGTGAATCAAAATTATAATTTAAACTAACGGTAAAACGTTTATTCTTTCACTCTATTCTAAAAATCGCAATAACTTCTCTGGATTGCGTCATTTCTAGATCATTCTATGGCCTGCGCAGATCTGATGACGTAATAATTGGGAACTGAAGTGACCATTGTAAACCAAAACTTTTCTCTTGCGTGCTTCCATCTTTCATAACTACGCAATTCAGTTTCTGTCTGTGCTAATGTAAATGTTCTTGATCAGGATCAACTAGGGTGTCAAGTAATCTGTGGCCACATAATGTCGATTGGAAATAAAAATGGAATTAAAATCGCCTCGACTGCCAAGTTTTATTTGCGAAGTCAACACATTAGCTTACGACGCAATCAGAATACTTCCTCTTCAATATAACTACGCATCACTGCTGCGGCTTTTCCTTTCCTTGCTTTTATTATTTCATTATATATATATATATATATATATATATATATATAATAATAATAGCAAAGGAAAAGGTGGAATACTGTTGATGCCTACGTAGATCCATATTGAAGAAGACGAATCACTTGGCACTATTCAAAACCATTTACATTTTTGATATTATAGGGTTAGCAAGCAAGACAGCGAAATTACATCCTAGCAAGGCAAAGAGCGAAGCTGAAGTGCGTAGTCATGCAATATGGAAGCACGGGAAGAGAGAAGTTTTGATTCCCAATTATTACGTCATCAGAGCTGCGCATGCCATAGAATGATCTAGCAATGGTGTGATCCTAAGAAGCAATTACGATTTTTAAAACAGAGAGGGAGAATTAAAGTTTTATCGTTAGTTTAAGTTGTTATTTTGATTTATATAATTTTTATCTTACATATATATGTATATTAGTTGTTAAATCCGGTTATAATAAACATTATATTCATTAGCATTTCTTTGCAGCGTATCTGTATAAAAATTTAAACTTTCAAAGAATTTGACGAAACGGTAGAAAACTGTAATAGTCTGAAAGTCTGCTTTATCTGCTTCAATTACTACTGGAATCATCATAGGGTTTCCCTTACCCCAATTAACCAATTATTCCAATTTTCGTTAACTTTTCTGAACTCCTCAACTTACCCTCCCATTACTGCGTCAGGATACTAATTTAAAGTTAAGTGAAGTGAGTATTTAATGAGTGAATCTTGGAGTTTATTCAGAGCGTGTTTTCCCTAGACAGCGTACGGTACGAACCTGGCCTTGCTGATACGATTTATATAATTATCACGCCGGTAAGTTGTCGCGTCAAGCTAGTTAGCCTTAACTTAAAGTGCTAGTCCCGCACTACTCTTTAGCCTTGAATGTATTATGTAACGATTCTTAAGTTCCACCGAAATACATCAATAACACCGCAAGTTGTCGGTGTTATTGTAAAGCACGAAGTATACTGCGTGGGGGAAAAAAAAAAGAAAAAAAAATCTGATGTGTACACCACATGACTTCCTTGTACGGAATTATACTCATTTTTTATGCATTTTATTTAAACTTATTAGATTGAATTAAACCTACTTCGCCGACAGCGCATAAACCACAACAGAATAAATGCATTCTTTAAAATTCACTTTGTTTACCATAGCGACACTCTGGCGCTAGGTTTACTTAACAGTATTATATTTCGTTCATATTATAACTCTGAATGCACAAAATTTATATCATTTAAAGAATTATTTAATCGTTGCCACGTGTTCTATTCAAATATTATAATAAAGCTAGAACTATGTATAAAAGAAATTAAGCAAACAAAACAAAAAAGAAACATTTTTTCACAGACGATTGAGTATTTCTCATTCAATTAATTCAGTTCTCACTTCGCGACAAGGCAAAAATACATAAAAACTCAACATATCTGTATTAAAAATTACGAAGTAAATCTTAAACGCTTATTTCCTCGAAAAAATTCCAGAAAGGATTAAGCATGATTTAATTGGCAACAATAAATGAATGCGTTATCTTTTTTGTTGGGGAAGCTAAGTTTCTCTAGATTGGCAACAAATCCACTAGTCTCCTGTTTCAAATGTAAACATCAATGGCCGCCATTAAAATAGGCTTAGCGGCACTTAAACAATTTTAAAATTGTTGATAATTCTAAAAATATTGCATACAGATTTACTAAAGGCATAAAACCCTTAACCGGAAGATAAAAACAACATAATTAAATCATTTTTAAAGCAAAAAATGTACAATTTACAAACATATAAGAGTAAAGAAAATGAGATCACTGAGCCGGGTAACAGAGTGGATATATTTATAAATATATTTATATACGTTTTGGCGGCAGCCGATTGCAACCTAAAATACAGGGTGCACATCTACATGTTATAGCAGTCCTATATACAAAATTTCAACGTTCTGAGGCTACTCGTTTTTGAGTTATGCGAGATACGTACGTTCGTACGCATGTACGTACATACGTTCGTACAGACGCCACGAAATATTCTCTTCAGAATTCATTTTAAAGCAGTTTTTTAGTTTTTTGGAGGTAAAGAGTCTTTTATTCCGTCCTTACGTACAGATATCACGCAAAAAGATCGTTAAATTGCATTCGAAAGCGGTCAAAGTGGATATTTTCGTTGAAATATGCTGCCTGAAGCTTTTCGCGATTACAATACTTCCCTTTTACTTCGTACAAGGAAGTAAAAAAAGAAACAGTTCTATATCTCCCGTTCTACTGGGCCGATTGACGAAATTCAACTTGCGTTTTTCATGTCTTGAAAGCGCAACTTAGGATACGTATTAGATTTATATACGGCATTGTTCTAATATAGGTATTTTGACACAAAATCGCACTTTTTGTTTTAAATGACATGACAATTTTTTTTATATTTCCATTTTACGACTCAAGTTACGCCAAAACGCCAAGTTTTGTTAAAATCGCACGAGTAGTTCTTGAAAATTTAGCTCTCAAAATTTTAGCTCGTCAATGTTCATTGAGTTTGGTATATATTTATTAATATCTCTTTTTTTTATTAAACTTATTTGATTCTTCCTATCACA